CGCGTTGCGGGCGCTCCCCGCTCAGGCCGCGCACGGCCGCTTCTCTGCACTGAAGCAGTGCCATCTTGTGGCTTGTCTTCCTTCAGCCCTGGTTTTATTTCGGCTTTTCTCTCTGTTCAGGTTCAGAAAGACGTTCTTTGAATCTGAAGCAGCGGGTCCCCGTTAGCAGAGAGAAGGGTGCACTGGTATCTGGCGGATGGTGAGTCCGCAGCTCTTCACATTGGCAGATGCCTGAGAAGACGGTATGGATTGTCTTCGTTCGCCGAGTTTCCTGCAATTGGGGGCAGGCAGTTTTGTCGGTTCCTTTTCTTAAATCACTGCCCCTCTCAGACCTGGGCTCCATCGCACACCCGTTCTGGGCTTAGGCTTCTCTTTCACCAGACGGTGGGTCCGAACACCAAGTGACGCGCACACTGCTGCCAGAGCTCCTGCGTTCACCCCAGAGGTGAATTCTAATGACACTGTGGGGTGCTGGATAGTTTCTAGAAGAACAAACATATTGCTTAGAGTTACTCAGAGGGGTACACAATGTTGGTGTGAGGCCATTAATCGCCTATTAAGGGTAGAGACCATGAATACATACAATGTGGGTTCATGCCCACCCAGGGAAACGGCCTAGGACAAATTTCTTAGTTCTGTTTATGTAGGAAGCCCTAAAAACACTATAAAGCCTTCTCCAGTTAATTAGGAAATGAAAAATTTATGTGGAAGAACCATATTCTCAGAAATAACTCGGTGAGATGATTAGTACATTCAGATATCAGAGTAAATACAAGTATTTTTGCTAAGATGAAGTTGAGCTTACAAGGAAATGCTATTGAAGAAAAACTGTTAGAATGCCCTTTGACATTTTGGGATTGAGCTTGAAAAAGATGCTAAGCCTACATTTTCGTAATATATTAACCAGTAATTAAGAATTTTCTTCCCACCCAAACACTAATTTGAAAGAATATATGCACCCCTGTGTTTATTGCAGCATTATTTACAATAGCCAAGATACGGAAGCAACTCAAGTGAATGAAAAAGTTGTGGTACACATGTACAATGGACTATTACTCAGCCATGTATAGATATAGAATATTATTCTAACTGAAATAAGTTAGAGTAAGAAAAATACCATATGATTTCACTATCTGTGGAATCTAAAGAACAGAACAAAAAACCAAAATTGAAGCAGACTCATAGATACAGAGAACAGACTGATGGCAGCCAGAGGGGAGGGGGTTGGGGGAGAGGTAGGAAGGTGAAGGGATTAAGAATACAAATTGGTTGTTAAAAAATAGTCACTGGGCCTTGGCTGGTGTTCTCAGTGGTTAGAGCGTTGCCCACACACCAAAGGGTTGCAGGGTCCATCCCAGGCACCTGTGCGGCTCTGGTGCGGGAGGCACCCAATCGATGTCTGTCTCTCTATCCTCTCTCTCCCTTCCACTCTCTCTAAAAACCAATAGAACAAATATCCTCGGGTGAGGACTAACAGGAAGAAGTCATGTGGATGTAAAGCACAGCATAACGAATATAGTCAATAACATTTTAGTAAGTATGGCGCCGGAACTGCCAGGGAGAACACGTTGTAAAGTATGTGATTATCTAACCACATGCTGTACACTGACACTAAAACAAAACAGCATTGAATGTAGACTGTAATTGAAAAATAAAATTTAAAAAATAAATAATTCCATTTAATATAAAGAATTTTCTTGCCTTTTCCAGAAAAGGGGGGAGGAGAGATTATAGATCCACAATAATGGATTTGTTATGACATTTGAGGGCAAATTAAAGACTTTTTTAAAAAAATAATAAAGTTTAGTTTAAAGTTTAGTTTCTGTGACAGTAGTTCATAGTCACTTCTTTGAATGTCTCCACTAATAACTTATTCAAGATAAAGACAAAGTTGCCCTTGAACATTTCTCATTGGTGGAGATCTGTTTCCAGT